CCCCTGCCTGCCACAAGGCCCAGTTTCCACCCACTGAGAAGGGGAAGGAGTCACCTTGGGCCAGGGTGGTGGAGGCATCGAGCAGAGCCCATTCTCCCAGCAGCTCCCCGTCTTGCAATCATAGAGGCCCTGGTGGATGCCACGCATGATCCTTGGGGTGGGGGGGTCTGCCCAGCTGAGGCCCCTATCCTGCCTGCCCCTCGGCCTCCTCTCTGTCCTGCCCCTGCCGCCCTTCTCTGTCTACCCTGCTCTTTGCTCCCCTCCTGCCACCCACTGAACCCTCCTTCCCCCACCACTCCCTCAGGCCACCAGAGCCACATTGCTGAGGAGTCAGGAAGAACAAACTGGTCCTGCCCTCAGGAAGCCTCAGGTCTGAGCTTAGATGAAAATCATGCCTACCCCGCAGCACTGAAGTCTGCAAGGCACCAAGTAATGGAGCAAAGAGAAAGGCAGGTGGATGGAAACAGTGAGGAAGGGGAGGGAACTCTGCAGAGGGAGAACAAAGTGGGTGTGGGAGCCTAAGGACAGTGAATGAGGGAGCCAGCAGGAGGCTTGGGGAGAAGGGATCCTGGGAGGCCAGCTGTGAGGGAGGGGCTGTGTTGGGGGGACTGACCATCAGACGAGGATGCTCCTGGGATGGAGGCAGAGGGAGATGAGGGGAGGTCCTTGAGCTGAGAGTAATAGAAGGAAAATACAGCTTTTAGGAAGTGTGCGTGGCGGCAGGATGCTAGACGGGATGGGGGACTTGGGAAGATTTGGAGTATGGTTGTCAGATAAAATATAGGGTTCCCAGTTAAACTGGAATTTCTGATGAACAATGGATGCATCTTTTGTGTGTAAGTATGTCCCAAATATTATATGCAATATGTTCCATGCAATATTGGGGATATACTTACAGTAAAAAAATATTCATTGTTTACCTGAGATTTCAATTCAACTGAGCATCCTGTGTTTGGATTTGCTGCAGACCTCCTGGAATTCGGCCTCTCCCACACCTCTCCCCTCCACTCCTCCTTAGCTCCTCTCCTGCCTCCTCTTTTGCCTCTATTAGCTGTGCCTCCGCGGCTAGATCCACTCATGGTTCCCCGAGGAGTGAGGAGTCCAGTCCCCAGAAGAGCCACACATGGGACCAGAGCTGGGTCTGCCAGAAGCTTAGCTCTCCAGGTCGAACCCCAGATCCTGGGTCTGTGAGGACAGAGTAGGGGCCTGTGTTACCTGGGGAACCCCGATCACAGCTTGGGACGGTGTAGGGGAGACCATACAAATGTGTAGAAGCATCGGCAAGCCCTTGTTAAAGAGATTCCAGTTTGGAGACCACTTTCCCAGAACCATGAAAGGCTTGTGGTTTTAGATAATATTCCTCAAAGCAGTCAAGACCTTTGAACCTTTGTCCCTTGCCCTCTGGCAGCCGCCACAGGAAGTTTGTGGTACTTGGAGGGCATAGAGTTGCCCCAGGAGTTCATTTGTCTTTGGGTATGAGAAGACAAAGAAAAAGAGACAGGGGTTGAGCCCCTCCCTTGTTGGACTGATACTTCTCCTGACAAATTACACTTACATATGTAAGAACAACAAACTGGAGATTATTGCCTTTGCTCTTTAAATAAGCCTTGAATGTTCCCTACATCAGAAGAAAGACATCTGCTAAGAGCCCACAAAGCTCTGGGCACCTGGGCCAGCAGGCTTGGTCTCCGGCCTCAACCTCAGAGCATTTGTGCTGTGGCTCCTGTGAACACAGCCCGTTTTTTCGTAGCCATTCTTGGAGTCTGCCCCAGACACTACCCTTGCCATTTGCCTATTTAAATTCTCCAGGACCAAGGTTTTTTTCCCTGCTTTTTCTGAAAATCATCTTCTGTATACCTCTACTCTGGCTCTTTCCTTTATTCCTGAAGAGACAGACTTCTAGCACTAAACATCCACTGGCCTTAGAGAAGGATGCGCTCCTGCCTTGAGGGCCCGGCTGGGCCCAGTCGTTCCTCCCAGAGCCCCTGGGGTTCCTTTTTTCTTGCTCTGGCAGCTGAGTTTTCCGCAACTCCCCCGGAGGCCTTTAGTGTGAGAACCAGCTCCAGCACTCATTCAAAGTCAGGTCATTTAACTCAGAGCCTCAGTGTCCTCATTTGTGAAATGAGGACACGGGTAGTCATTTCTCAGGGGCGGGGCCCAGTGTGAGGTTACAGGAGGGTGGCTGTGTGTGAGGGGCTTTGCCAGAGTAAACCCTCAGGAGAGGCGAGAACGCCCTTTGTTCCCAAAAGGAGGAATCGTTTTTGAGTAAATGTGGTCCTATGTTAAAGTGAACCCCTCAAAGGCCACACTTGTTCTTTATAAGCATAAACAGAATCTCCCAGGGGGCTTTGTGAGCTGATGTGCAGCGCTAATGGTAGCTATGTTGGAAGAAGGGCTCGGGGGACACCAGGAAGGTATCCTCCCCACATGGCTCCCCACAATCTGTGAGGCAAGAACCTTCTCAAGGCTGGGGGGGATGGGGGGATCAGACTCTGGGAGGAGGGACGTAGTCCTAGAAACCACAACAATGGGAGATGGTGTCCAGAGCCCCGTTCAGCAACCCTGACTGCTCACCAGTTAACAAAACTAGTTGAGGAAGAGAAGTTTCCTTGAGCCTGGAACCCTTCCCAACCCCCCGGGGCTTCGAGAGACTCTAAACTCTTCTGTGAAGGCTGGGCTTCTTCCCTGCAGGACCTCTTCTCCCCCACTCTACCCACTGGGTGGCTGCCTCTCTGCCCTAGATAGCACCTCCAGCCCTTCTGTCTTTCTCCCAGCTCTTCTCTGCTTTGCTCAGATTTGTTTCCTGCAAAAAGAGCCACTGGGGGCAGGTGGCGAGGTAGAGTTGGAGCTGACAGGCCAGCAGAGGAGAGAGGGGTAGAACCTGTCACCCTCAGTGAGGCTGTCTGGTCCTAGCAGGGAGAGAAGATTTAGTCCAACCACCTTCCTAAATCTGGGGGAGAGCAGTGTAACAGACTTACGGTGCACAGCTTTGAAAACTGTTCTGCTCTGCTAAGACTTGACTGTGGTCATCGGACGCAGATGTGGGTGGGGTGAGGGATTGGCTGGGGGGGAGATGAGAGGAGGAGGTAGAAGGATGCCTCATGCCGATCTCCCAACTATGGGCAACCTGCAATCTCTTCTGTTTTGGCATATGGACTTACACAGATGTTGGTTATGTTTCTCTGGGCCCGACTCACCAAGACCATCTGAGCTCACGTGCACCTACTCTTGTGTATACTCACTGCGTGTACACACACCCTCTCCCCCATCTTTGATGGCTCATGGCTGTAAGGACAAATGTGAGCAAACATGAGCGAAAGCAGGAAGGAGACAACAGAAAGAGGAAAGAGGCCAGTGGAGGCAGTGTCTAGGGCAGAGGTAAAAAGACAGAGTTATCACATAGGGAGAGGGAGGGAGGGGTCACGGACAGGCCCAATGTACCACGGACAGCCAAGAAAACAGCTAGATCTTCAGTGGGGTCTGTACACCTGTCGCTTACATATCTCAAGGCCATTTGGAGACAAACACCCCAAATGAGACATTTGCAGGATGGGAACCTCGCCAAACTTAGTTTTGTATATTTTGCAGGATCTAACTCCATTTTACAAGAGAAAGGGCCTCTAAAGTCAAATAAATTCCAGGAGATACTAGGCTAAACAAAGCTATAAAGGTTTATTTACTGGAGGACTTGGGGCAGGTGGGGGGGGG